TGAGGGTGCTCCGCTACCTGCGGGCCCGCCTATTATGTTATGAGGGAGTTGTGAGGGACCGAGGGCGCCTCCCCGGCCCCAAGGGGTGGCTTCAGCCGCCGGCACATGATTTACGTGTACCCCGCTCTCCGCGAATAAATAAAACACGACCCGCAGGGACAGCGCTGGGCCTCATGGAAGGAGCTATTCACGGACTTCTCAGTAAGTAAAAGGAAACAGGCAACATCAGTCACGGCCAGCTGATGAATTTCAGCCTCGAGAAGGGATGACCGAGAGGGGACATCATTAATGCGTGTAATATCTGTGGGAGTGGGGGAATTGTGCTGAGAGGATGGAGCAGGCTCTTGTCGGTGGTGCTGAGCAATAGGACAAGAAACTGATGCACCGGGAGTTCCACCTGAACACGGAAAGAACTTCCTTACTGTGCACTGGCTGCTCAGGGGAACTAGTTGTGATAGAGTTCACCACTCTGAAGATACTCAAGAACCTTCTGGACACAATACTGTTCTCTGGGATAACCCTGATTGAGCAGGGAGTTGGAGCTCATTTTCCTCTGTGATCCCTTGCAACTTTACCCATTCTGTGATGCTGTAAGCTCTATGAATACTCATGGCAAACAATAAGAATACAAAAATTACCGCAAGTTTTTCAGTAATCAGTGTTTTAAAATACCTAAAAGCTCCAACTAAAATACACAGGATTGTTGACATAAAGCTTAAGAAGCAATAAATAACTATCCACTTAAATTTAAACACTAGAATGCAGAGGTACAACCATACACTCTGAACAACAAAGAAAAAAACCAACAAATTTTACATAAACTATAAACTGGATTTACTATCAGTATTGGTGTCTTACACTGTCATAAGAATTTCGCTTAGCTTAAGCACATATCAGTTCTCATTTTTATTAGGAACGTGTGCCACAAATACCGGAAAATCACAGTGATCCCTCCAAAATGTTTGCATACCTCCTTTCCAGCCAGCACAAATGGGACTTCCTTGGTCAAAGCACACCTCAACTTGACTCCCTCCTCTCAGCCAGGAAACAAATGTCTTTCACCTGCAAAACACAGTTTGGAGGCAACACTGGGTCCTTACTGTTTTCAGCCAAGGATGYCCAAACTACTGCATTGAAAGTCATTTAAGGTGAGGGCACAGGTTGAGAATTATGTCTGCAATTGGAGCCAGGTTTTCAAGACTATTCAGATCTTCAGTAAATGCTGGCTTAATTTAAACAACATGGAATGYCCAGGCTTGAATTTGTGTAACGAGAAGGATCTTTACAATAATGCTAAAATATGTCTGCACCCTGAGCTGTATGAATTTTGCCTGGGAGTTTTGGAAACGATTCTGAAGTTCAAGAGAATGGTGGATTATATTCATAAAACAAGTGTGCCACTGACCTTTCAGCACAAGAGAATAGATGTGAATCATGGACCTGAGATTCATCTAAAGGAACACAGTGAAAACACATGGGATGAAAGGCTCTAAAGGCTTTACAAATTATATTTGGATGGGGAGAGCAGGGAGAAAGAGAATGTGGGAAAAAGAAGAATGAAAAAGGATCCTGCTGTTTAGCTCATGCATAAACTGTATGTGCCYAGCCAAAGGTCACTCCTTTTATTTTCTCATTAATTTCAATGACGGTAAATGGTATATGAAGAACAATCTAAAAATAAGAATAGCCAGAAATAGCTTAAGTTTTTGTGTGACAGCATGGCAGGAAGAAAAWCCTGAACTGAAACTCCATTCCAGATCTTTACTTTTGGCTTTTGAAAAAATAGTGACTTAAAGTTAATTATTTAAGATGAACAGGATATCTATTCAGAAAAGTTAAACAAAAATTAAATGGTCTATTTTTTAATGTATTTCCCAATAAAGTTTTTATACTCTGTGTACACTGAAATTAATTCCTGCGGGTTGCTTTTTTTTATCTACAACTCATGTGAGAAATGGTGTATTTGGAGAGTTTTGAGGGAGGGTTTTCTGGGTTCTAAACATAAGTGAAAAAAACCACTAAGTATTAGGGAGCTAGAAAGAAAGAGAGGAGGAATAACAGCTTGGGGAAGTGTTCTGGTGCATGCAAAAGCTGGCACATGGAAGTTGACATCCACAGCAGCTGAAAAGAGAGGCTGAAATGRGAACATAAAAGGGATCATGTATGTTTTGCAGTGAGGGCCATGAATGGCTGCCTCAAACAAATCTTCAGGCAACGGGAGCTCTTCATACAGAGACTGATGCAACATCTGCCTACTTTTTTTCTAGGGAATAGCAGGCCAATATCTGGAAGCTGATCTGCAGACAAAGTGACAGATTCTACAGTAGCATTGATGGGATTTTGGCATTACTACACCAGATTTTTAATTTTTGCAGCAAACGTGCAAATCTTCATTGACTTGCGGTATATTTGACTATATGCTGAACTTACATTTTCAAAAAGAGGACACCAGCTGCCCGGAGTTTATTTCTCATCTTATGTTTATACCAAATAGCACTATGGACCTTATGGTTAACACATGTTGCAGTGGTTCACTTTCTGCGTAGAGGTTAGTAATTGATAAAGGTAAAATTATAAGCAACGACAATTAAGCATCATAGAAGGAACATTTGGGCTATATTAGAAGTGAGATGGCCTGCTCAAAGCACCAACTTTGGATTTTGCATTAAATCYTTAGTTCACTGTATTTCCTGCACAACCACGGTCAAAATTCTGATGTGACCCCAGACAACTCATTTGGTTTCTCTTGGCTTCCATTTGCCATCTGCAGAAGAAGAAAGGAATTTCCAGACTTCAGTGTGTRTGACAAAGATTAAGAGGTACTCCAGGTGTAACTGTACAAGGTAGTAACTTTGGCAGGAAAGGTGTCTTAATGATTTCTTGATCTCTTGCAGCCTCCCTGACTCCATCCTAGCATTGTAATCTGTTTTTCTATTCAGTTTTTAAAACTTATCCACARTCCAGACCACTGAAATGACCTGGGTGACAAATACCACACCACACCCCAAGATATTTTAACCGAGATCCAGTTGATACTGAAGCTGCACYAGCTGTGACCTGTCATGAAAAGGCCCTTCAAAACCAACATTTTATATGCTAACATCAGACAGTGAGTTGCAGCAATCCAGAAGGATGTCAAAACACAGCCTTTTTTAAGTCATTGTTTTTGATGGGGAAAGACACTCCTCACATGTCATATGGCTTCGTATCTGGTCCTACTTGATTAGTCTTGGGGCTAGGGATGGAATAAGAGCCAACTGCAAGCAAAGGTAACTGAACAATTCCATAGGGAAATATTTTGTCTTCTTGCTTCTTCAAATAGCTACTGCTCCCACCAGACTTGACAGACTCCAACGCTTCAGTTGCAGCAGTAACACTGCATCTTGGCAGTCAGGTTGAAAGTACTGCCTCAAGCAGGTCACTGCCATTTTTCCTGGCTTACACATAAGAGATATAGCATGGAAAGAAATGGTGCAGAGAGCTGCTCAGCTGCAGAAATAAGGCACAGRTCTTCTGCCTGAAGCACTGATCACAAGTCTCATCTCCTGCTATTTGGTAAGGTCTGTTGCCTCCCCAAAGGGACTGTGTGCCACATGCAGACCATGGAGCAGGGAGGATAGGTTTCTGGAAGGGASCTGAAGTGTGTCTCTAAAAACATGTATTTGTTTGTTGGTTTCAATACCAAAATCAGTGATTAAAAWTTTGTTAATTGGCAACAAATTAAATCAGTTGAAATTTCCCTGGCTCRAAACTGTTTCTGGCTCACAACAAGGGGAAAATTGATTCAACACAAAAATTTGGAAATAAACTGGTACAGTCACAGTGGTCTGGCAACAGATCTGAGGGCGAAGTTATGGAAAACAGCAAATTACATGTCGTGCAGCAGTTGCTAATCTAGGGCATAAATATAACAAGGGTGTTTTTAAGCCAAGAGAAGGACTGATAATAAYGTTTTATCCTGGCTTTTGTTAACAGCGGTTAAAAACTGGAATGTTAGCRGAAAGAAGTTCAAAGTGAGGTACCAGAAGTGATTAACAGAAATATATATTCAGGAGATAGATGTTTACATGCTTGGCTTAGGAGAAAGCAGCCAAGCAAAGACAAGAGGATCCTTTCAAGGGACCTGGGTGGAATCCYAAAGAGCATTATATAAAGTGTCATCATGGGAAGAAGAAAAAGAAAATTCATGATAACTATAAAAAATTCTGACCGTCACAGTGGACCCAAACCCTAGAGAGGTTGAGTTCCTACATGTTATCAGCAGAAAGTTGTTTTCAACATTCAGAAAAAAATTCTGAATTCTCCACTTGCTTGTGTGATCCCAAGCAAAAAAATGAAGGACGGCATCTTTTTTTGCTCTCAAAGCAGATCAAATTCAGAAAGAATAATTCACAGCCCACACATAAGTCAATGGCCATTATGTTTGCTCAGACAAGACCTGAATTTGATTAAATGCYTAAGAGCACGCAGACTATATACTATGTAAACAAAAATCTGTTTTGCAACGAGATTATTTATATCAAAGATAACTTCAACTGTTTCTCTGAGATATCACATTTGGTTAAAAATACAAAGTCCTCAAATGACTGTGACTGTCAAAGTGTAATATTCAAAGAAATATTTTTATTTTTTACCTTTTTTTTAAG